TTATATTTCTAATTAGCATTTGAATATTTACAAACAACGCCCCAGATTAATGACGCAGTGGTACGAATTCTCCCATTATGGTGCGAAAAATTCTTACGTGCTTGTAATTCAAAGTTGGCTCATCAATTGTAATTTTATATTGTAAGGTTTTATCTACCGCCTAATTACGATAGTAATTAACAAATGTGTGGATATTGATTATGAAATTGTTTACGTATATTAGATGATTATTATAATTATATTTATTTCCTTCTAATCGTAGTATTAGTATTAGTCCGTAGTATTCCTTACTAACAAGGGGAGACTACGGACGTGGAGTTATCAATTTCATTGAAATATTTTTAGTGATCCTAGGTCAAAAAATATTAGACCTATGTCAGCAGAGGGTTTAAATTTAATTCATTTTTCAATTCAATAGCAAAACTCATAGCAATGTTATTGATTTGACGTCACAATAAATTATTACTATTGAAAGATATTGAGTGTTTATCTCGGACTATTTATTATCATTAAGATAGAAGAATAAATAAGGCTTTAAACAAAATGTTTGTAAATTATTCATAACATTTGAGTTTAATGAAATTAAACTCGGTTGAAAAAAAAAATACAAACATACATGAAATAGAAAAGTAATATATATATATATATATATATATATATATATATATATATATATATATATATAATATATATATATATATATATATTATATATATATATATATATATATATATATATATACTAAAAATAAATATTTCACGGAATTGTCTTATTTTATATCAATTGTAGTAGATTTAGCTTTATAGTTAAAGCAGTATCCTTAAAAATTATAAATATAATTAAAATGAATTTCCAATGAAGATATGCCGGTAAGTAAAAGTTAAGTAATCTGCAAACGATTTTTTTTAACCTACTATGTGGTAGTAATATTCAATTAATTAAATAAAAATTGGATAAATAATGCTCGTTTTTTATTTGTTATTTTAATTAGTTTAGTTCGTTTATTTATATAGATTTAATTTAAGTATTATTATTTTTCTGAATTATTTATTGTAAATAGAGTGTGAATTTGCTCTCTGAACACTATTATAAATGTACTTAATTGTGACAGATTGTAATAATTCTGAATAAATAAGTTTTAAAAAAAAGTGATTTTATTTTATTTAAATTCGGCAGAGATAATGATACCATTAAAACAAAGGATGAATTAAATTTCATTTAATGATAGAGATTTCAAAGTAATAATGTTATTAGAAATAAATAAACCAAGATACTAAGATTGTAAAAAATAAAAAAATGAGAGAGAAACTACTAACATAAATAAAATAATCTGATATTTTTTTTGCAATTCAGGTAGTAGAAAAATACGTCATAGGTAGATATTTAACTAAATATCTAGGAAAATTAAAGCGGATAAAATAATAAAACGACTATTTTTATTTTAATGGATTTCATTATATGGCATGCATATAAAGTACTTTTAACTCCGGTCGTAAACACTTTATTAAAGTTGCTCCTACCATTAAAAGAATGTCATAAGCGTTATTTTATAATGGAATTCATTACGCGACATATCATATTTATAAATCGCTACGGAGCGCTATAAAAAAAATAATTTAAGATTTTAAAAATATTTTACGTTCCACATCCTATTGTTGAGATCTTAATAGTATTTCTCCCCCAAAAAATACTTTAAGTGTATCGATACATTTTATATCTGATTCAGACCACTTAAAACCCACGATTACAAAGGGTATTTACATATAAACACACACAAACACATACGATTATCCCCTTTGAATCAAATGGGCTGAAATTTATTATATAAGGTCGTTCTTCAGGTCGTTTATTTTAATATTATAAGTTTAAATGACTATACTATATACTATAAGTTTGATTACTTTATTCAATACTTTGAATATATTTTTTTTTAGATAAAAAAGTAATAAACCCTGGGAACATCGCAAACAGATAAAGTACATAAGTTAATCATACTATAGTTATTTAATTCCGATTGATTCAATGGAAATAAAAGAAAAAAAATTAGTGTTCTGATAAAACTAAATTCAAATCAAATTTATTCTTTATGAAACAGAAATATAACGTCAATGGGCCTTACCAATAATCGAATGTTTCCGATTTTGTGACTAATCACATTAATCCGGGAATTTCACTTGACAATTCATATCAGAGCTTCTATTGATTTTTAATATATATTTGATTTCCTCAGGCTTGCATTAATTAAACTAATTTTCACCTGTTTTCAAAAAACTAGTTAGGGGAAATTTTATTTTATCCATCATGTGTTGCTAAATCATGGGGACCCAGAATGCTCATGAAATGTGAAAAATATTTCTATATAATTTAACAGGAAAAATTGAATTCGAATCAGGCGATTATCGCGTGTTTTATTTATGTACTTTGTTCATTTATTATCTTTGTTTAGTATTGTTTTATTCTAATATAGTACATTAAATAATGAATGATCAAAGTAATAAAATTCAATAATAATGTAATTCAAAACAACTAGTATAATCATTTAAGCCAATGAAATTGAAAGTTCATATTATCCTGTTAAAAAGGCAGATAAGGTTTTTTAATAATGTGCTCTCGTTAAATCCATCTCGAAGTTCTCAAACGATAATATCACGCTGTTCTTAATAAATTCTCTCCAAGGCTCTCGAGCCGACAGAAGAGTCTCACAATATCAAGGGCTTGTAATGAGTTTAGAAAAGGCATTGGGAAATAAAAAGGTAAAAGGTTGAAGATTTAAAAGGGCTTTGGATAAAAGAGGGAAGAAGGCATGCTCTCTGCTAGGGCACAATCAAACATACAAACTGGCGAGGGCTTTTGAGTTAAGGGCCTTCCCCCAGGTAAATGGGATGAGGCGCCCCTGGTGACAAATCTCTTAAACCTCCTTCCACAGCTCTTCATCAAGTTATTAATGCCCTTTCACCTCCCTAACCTCCTCTTCCTCTAAATATTTATGTTTAATTATTTCCTCCTTTGTTTCAGCGCCCGATTGTTATTTACGTTCAAAGAGGACGAGAGAATAGTTATGATGCTTCAGCTCCGGCAATGGCACAACAAAATGAACAGAACTATCAAGATTAAATAAGGGTATTTCAAATGTAATCACCATCCCCCACTTGGATTATGGCTACCTTGTATACGGTGGCCTGTCTGGTGGATATGCGATTAGATTTAAGAAACTAATGAATTGTTTCATTTGATTGATCCTTGGAGTCTCCAGTTGCTAGGCCGAGTTGATGTGGCTCTCTCCAATTTTACGACCTCAGTATTTTCTATGTTTATTCCTTTTCTGAAACTTTGCAACCAAAAAATCATCTTACCGTCTTCATTTCTTTACTCCTTATTCCTCTGTTCATTCGTTCAACACGATATCCCAACCCTCAAATCTGTTTATTCCTTCTCATAGAATTGTTCCTTCAAAAACTTCTTCGTCATACGTGCTACCTCGTTTTGGAATTCCCTACCAACCTCTATACGGAAATCCTCATCTTTGACCTAATTTAAACACGATCTCCTCAATAATCCATCTTCCGAATATATGTAAAAATAAAGGTATTTTGTATTTTAGAGATGTCAGCTACATTTTACTGATATTTTTCAGATATCTATTTATGTGCCGTTATGCTTATTTGTACAAATACGTGGACTCACTCGTACGTATTTATCTTTAAACTCATATGTTTACTTCAAGATCATATATCTACTACAGTGTCTTTCCTTTATTTTAATATTAGGGTTAAACAACTTTGTAAATTAATTTATTTTTAAATGTACTCTAATGCCAGACAATTGACATTACGCTGTTCATTATAAATATTCTGAGAGGACTAAATGTCCCAGAGTAAAATTCACTTTCTTTCTTTCTTTCATTAGTTGTTTGTGCTGAGTTTTCTTTCCTTTTCGTAGCCTCAGCGTGAGTAATTCATTTCGATGCCTAATTCTGCCAAGCAGTAAGCTTAAATATATAAATCCATAATGGATACTTCTTGGCGTAATATAGTTTTGAAATTAATAGCAAAGTTGGTAATAGTTTATTATATGATAAGGAACTACATGCACAATAAGGAATATTTACTGGTTCTTCCACCTATTATGCTGGCCTTTTGGACTACTTGAGAGCAACCGAAAACAACATATGAGTCCAATAGAAATAATAAATATTATAGTGGGCTTAGATAGCAAAAATAAAATTATCTTGCATGTAGGGATGTGATTATTCCGATATCGCCCATTATCGTATCGAAACTAAAGATTGGGAAAAAATGACAAATTCGGATCTCAAGGACCGGGGTAGCACTGACTTCCAATGCTCAAGGTCCCAGGTTCAAATCCCACTTATGACTTAGTTGTTTTTCATCAGTCGTGGATAAACCCCTGGTCCGAGAGCCTTCTCTTCCTGGGCACGCCCAGCCTCTATAAAGTAGGTACTCTTAATTAAATAATTAATCAAGGGGTAAAACCTGGCGGTTGAGCGAGTTCTCGTCTCAATCAGCTCCCTGCACAACCATTGATCTAGTAACAATACTTCCTCATATTATACTTATCCCAAGACCCTTCATGGGTGATTCGGCCCTCTCCTCCGGCCCGAGAAAAACAGATTTTCTTTGTGATCGGCGTGGCCGAATAAGCTAACGCGTTGTGCACAGCACCACCGTGTCCCGGTTATGAGTTCGCGTCCCGGTGCCAAGGCGTCTTTTAAATACTCGCCCACAACCTCTGGCCCGGGAAAACCCCGTGTAGCCTTGAAGTTAAAGTTTTTTTTTTTAAACTTTATTAGAAAATAAAATTTATATCTATAGAGAGTAAAACAAACAAAAAAAAAAACTTAAAATATTCCCCTTTTGCCCTAATACAGGCATTTAATCTTCGTGGCCTGCCAGCCATAGCAGAACACAGCACTTCTTGAAGCGCTCAACTGCTCGGACCAGATTGTTTGAGGCTTTCCAAGTTATGGTGTGCTCTGTGGCATGCCATCCTTTCCAGTTCGGGCTAAAGCTAGACGACCTGGACTTGCTAGGGGGCAAATCCGAGGCAGAGATGAACTCTGGAATGTTCTTTATCAGCCACTGCTGAGTTGGCCTGGCCTTGTGAGCTTGATCGGACTTCCAGCGAACAGAGTTTCACTTAGAGGCTTGACCACAGGTTCTAAAATATCGTCCTGGTAGTTTTCAGCGTCTGTTTTAATTACATTTTCACAAAAATGGAGCTTGTGGTGCCATCGAAGCAAACTCCCCACCAAACCATTACTCAGGAAGGGTGATGGTGACCTATTTCCACTATCCCAATGATTTCCTGGGCTTCTTTAGAGCTGTGTGCGTAAACACGATCATTTTGGAGATTACATTTTTCTTCAATTGTAAAAATCTTTTCAATTCTAAACAAAATCTTTCGATGCAGACAATTAGTGTAACGGCCAAGACGTACTTTGCATCTATCCAATCTAATTTTTTGTTAGGGAAGTGGCTAGCCTTTGTCCTGTCATTCTTCGAAATGCACCCATCCTAAGGTCACTTATTATTATGCGAGACATTGACCTGCCAAAGATTCTCATTTTGCGAGACATGATTTGTTGTTTTCGAATGGGATTTCTTCTGATTCGAGCAGCCACTACTCTCAATGCATTTACCGTTCTCACAGAGCGGAGACGGCCCAGTCGAAGTCTGTCACATACAGATAATGTCTCATATGATTCGTTACATTAATACGGCAGATACCCAAAGGTTCCAAAGTGTTGAAAATCTCTGACCTAAATTTTCCAACTTTGTGTACGGCGAAGGAACAGCTATTCGGTTTTCTTTATCACCCCACTCCATGTTAACTGAGCGAAAGAAAAATACAAACTAATTGGGATTATTATCTTGACCTTAAAGAAAATAACCTGACAGAGGTAAGGAATATCTAAATAATACCCAAGGATGTAAAAAAAGTTCAACTTTTGTAACAGTATTTATGGCAGAATTAGGTATGATATGATAATATAGCAATCACATAACAATCGAACCATTTTACTATTAGTAATATAACGCACAACTACTCCTGAGAGCTAATAAACTGACAAATGGCTCTAGCTGACAAATGCCTCTTCATTTTCTCATCAATAATTTCAAAGTCCCAAATCTTTTGAAGAATTCTACCGTTTATGATGATAGCCCATGTTCCGCAAGGGAAGTGCAGGAGTTCGGAATACAAATGGGAAAAGTAGGGCTTAGAGGGAGAAAACCACAGATAGTAAAGGGCAGGATGAGAAAGTGATTGGGGGGTGTATATGGTCAGCATACCACAATCGGCTACGGTCAAACACGTGCTCTTTGTGAATCCTCCAACTTTGCATAAAAGTGCTGAATATTGAAGGAAAATTAAATTACGTCTAACATTAAATCTCAAGTAAAGCAATATTTATTATAAAAGTAGAAATTTTTAACTAAAGAAAAATCAGGAATTGGAAAAGTTACGCCTGTTACTAATATAAAACTTTAATAAAGAAAACTTATGATACTTCAAAAATAGGAAATGTAATACCAATGTTTATCAATACCTTTTTTATCATATTTTAGAACATACAGGAATCCTAAATCGTGAAAAATCAAATTGAAAACAAAATACTAATTAATCATAATATTTATTGAATGATTTCACATTCGGATATGTTTTATCTAAGAATGATTAACTATTATTACAGTGGTACATTTAACACTCGTACGTATTCAATTGTCGTTAAATAAAGAAATCAGTCGTTTTAGTAAATATCATTTGAAATCAATTTACTATTTTTAAACAAAATATTAATGCTTGCAAAAATAAAAATGTATATATATATGTATATATATATATATATATATATATATATATATATATATATATATATCTTTTTTTTCGGTTGGCGCTGCAGACTATGAAGATCTTTGACCGCAAATGTGGCCTCCTACCACATCCCGATTCCCGATTTAAAGTACGGGGTAGGGTCATTAATCCTACGCCCGGTCGTTGTGAGTTGTCTCCACATACCCGGGGATATATATGTATACATAACTACAAATTATTTCAATACAAAATTGTAATATTGCTTTTTTATTCACAGAGTTCCTTTAAATTTCATAGAATTAAAAAAAAATCTCATTTTTCATTTGATTCCAATAAGTGACTAGAGTTACAATACTTTCAAGAAGTAAAATTTATTAAAATCAACAAAGCTGAAGCGTTTTAGTTTGTAAAAAACTGAGCAGCTAGTTCATATTACAAGTTACCATCAGTTATTAAGCCAGAAAGGGTGTACGTGGGAATCTAGCTTGAGTGGGTTGACTTTAATTTCGTTGTAGGTCTATCAATTAAATCATGGCATGTTTAAGATACATTTTAAATATAATGAACAATTTTAATTCGCTCTCGTGCGTTAAAGCCTGCACCATAATTTTCATGCTATATCTAAATATACCATATATTTTCTCTCATAATTTATAAATAAACGGACAGATAACCCGGAAAAAGATTCAGTGAGAATTAATTCCGTAACGTTCCTCAAATTTAAATAATCCAATTAATTCCTCGGAGAGAGTGGTGCTGGATATATTCTCAGGATAGAAGACGCGGGACAATAGCTTTAAGATATAGGCGAAAACAATCCGGTCTTCCCCGAGGCACAATTGTGCTCCGACAAAAGGATGAAGGATCTCTGTAAAACAAAGCGCCTGGCATTTCTGTCTTCCAAGTTCTGCCGATCGAGACTGGGGCCCGTTTCTTAGGAATTCAAATGAGGCTGTTTAGAAAGGGGTGGTGGGAGGGGAGCTGCTACAACAGTATCCATTACCATACAATTACTCAAGCTTCACCAGTCAATAATGTAATCACAATAACGTCTCTTTAGCATATTCCCCTAATGACGGCCATAACAAAACCTTAGCTTCATCATTTTCTCCTGTTAGCAGTGGCTTTTCTTTTACCTCACGATCTACCGCAAATCATCGTCCCATCTACCTACATTTGAAGTAAAATCACATCTTACGATCCCATTTGTTTATTTTATCCACGTTATCTCTAATGAACTTTTAATTTGATTTATTAACAGAATGTATTAGACCATATCAACCGCCAGTTATAAGAAATTGTACATAATTACTACATTTTTCTATTGGCTTGGGATACGAACTATATATCCATCCATATCTTCAAATTTTAGATACTGTAATTTTCTAGGTTTTTCCCTGTTACCTAAACAAGTCAGCAAATTCTCCAATACCTTCCTTTACCCTGATTTTCCAGTTCCAAGCGAAACTCCTAGATGAACACTGTAATTCTCTATTTTTATTCTTCTAATTTTATTTATTTATTTATCTATTTTTTTTTCTCCACATTCGTTAATGTCTATTATTTTATATCATATAATTTTTCCTTTTCTTTCAATCTCTCCAATAGACCTGCTGAAGTATTTTCACATTTGCATATATTATATATTACACTACAACAAATGTTACCATCTATTTACTTCAGTTTAGGATCTTGTTACTTAGCTTATTCTGTTTATATTTTAATGTACTTACTGTTTATAATTCTAATAAGCATATTCACATTGTTTATAATTTTTTGTCATAATATTATGTAACTTCCACAATTCTCTATCTTTCTGTATCTTGTCCGTTCTAGCCCTGAAGGAGACCTGCAAAGCTGGGTCGAAACGCTGGCTTTTAATAAAATAGTTTTGCCACTATTCAGTCTATTTATGACCGCCACCCCGAACCATTTCCTTCCTTTATATATTTTTATTTATATTTTTACTTAATTTGAGCTTAATCTAAACATTAAAATTGTTCTTATTAAGTTATTTTTGTATATGTAGATAGTCATAATTTCGTAGGCATAGATCGCTTGGTACGGGTTTCAAACTTTATATTTCTTTATATTAACTAGACTATATTATTATTATCATATTAAAATTTAAGTTATTGTTGAAATAGAGAAACAACGTATTATAAGACAGATAAATAACTCTGAACCTTATGATACATGTAAATGATATTTTATTTTATTCAATTTCTTTTTAATTTAGGGCTTAAACAGGGAGAGTATGAATAAATGACAATGATAATGAAATTTCATTCCAAAAGTCTCTGTTAATACCAATAAATTATTGTATTTCTATCAATTATGAGAGCTGAACAGGTCAGTGAGTTAGGCACTGCGATGCTAATCTGAATATCCTGGGTTCGAAGCCGACGGATGTAAAGTAATTTTTCATCAGCCGTGCATTGACACTAAGGTCAAGAGACACTTCTGGGGGACATCTAGTCTCTATAAGGTGGTTATTTTTAATTAATTATTTAACAAACAGGAAAAACCTGACGGTTGAGCGTGAACCAGGCCCAATCACTTCCTTGCACAATCTTGAAACAGTACTTCTTAAATAATGAACACAAAACCCGTTAATGTTGAAGTGAGGAGGTTTTTTTTTTCCTATTAATTCAACATTTTTTTCTTCTCCAGAACTAAACCTATAGGTCAAACGAAATACTTGTAATTTACAGCGTTTTCATTTCTATCTCTACATTTCGTTCGATCATATGAGACACTGAAGAGCATAGCGTTCAAAAATGTACAAACAGAATTTTTTTTTTAAATTTAATTTTATATGAAATATTATACAGAACAAATTTTAAAAAATGTAGAATGGTGAAGATTATGAACAAATAATACAATAATCTACTCAAATAAATAAAAGTTGTAATATAAATTCAGCCATTGCAAAGCAGTGTATTATATGCTTAATATTTTATTTAATTAAGTTTAAATAATTTATTTATAAATAGTAATTACCATGTTATATTAGCATGAAATTGCAATTAATTCAGGTAGGCGGTAACACGGGGCTCCTTTCTTGAATACCCTGCTAGGAAGAGAGGTATTTAATTATTCGAAAACAGTTCATATTTTATAGGCGCCCTCGAGTTAAACACTTCCTTTTTCTTAGGCCGAATATTTTTCAGTAGGGCTACAAGAGAACCCTTAATTGGGGCCAAACAAAGGGTCATAATGCAAGAGTAAATATTTCCCTAAGGGCTAAGGGCAGGGGAAAACTGCTCTAAATAAAATATGAAAGAAATATTAAAGGGGATTAGAGGAGGCTTTGTTTAGTGTTGAGGCCCATCATTCTCTTTTGACTTGTCTTAACCGAATTAAACTCGTCTTAATTTCACGAAGCATTTACCGTTGGTACTCATGCATTTTAAATTTCTTCGTTTTCAATTCTATTTGCATAAATTATTTATTTTCATAGTACTACTGTAGGTATAAATTTATTTCTGATATATTAAAATTAAATTATTTTTTATTGTTTTTTTTATGTAGAAGATGTTATTAGGTAAATATTTTTTTTTTTTAAATTAGACATTATACAAAATATGTTTTAAAGAACAAGTGGGTTTTTATATACTATACCTTGTCTATGAAGGGTGATAAATATATCAATTTTTATTTTATTTGTGCAGACCTAACCTAAGCATGTCGGTCATCATCAG